ACTAATAGCTGACCTTAACCAGACAGGATATTTGTCTCAGGACTGAGGTAGCTTGTTTGCTTTAGGCACTGAGGCCCAGTCCCACCTACACACATTTGATCATTTTCCTAGCTTCTGTGGCTCCCGGCATGTCCTTTTTTGTTTTGCTTTGTTGGAGATGGGCGTTCCATTGCAGTCAGAGATGCTGTATTTGGAGAAGTCTTTACAGAACCTTTTCGTACTTGATGCCAGTCCAAAGCTTGTAGGTACTTGAGTTCAGCAAAATAAGCCAATATAGTCCAATAGTCCGCAGCAGTACTGAGTTATCAGCACAACTGGCAATTGTCAGAGTTGCTGATTTGAGCCTTTTGCAGCTCAGGATATTAATATAGCTTTACTTGTTATACCTCATGGTTATATTTTCTGCTGGATGGTTAAGACCAAGTTAGAGCAAGACCTATATAACTAAAAATGCAACATTTGTTATCTAACAAGGTCAGTCAAATCCCCTCAGGATTTACCCTGGAGCCACATACAGAACTTTTACCAGTTCTGATGGTGTATTGAATTTGCTGGTTCTCCCGGCGCAGTCTCTTTAGAGACACAGTGTGCTATGCACCAGTGCCCAGCACACTGCACGAGCAGTGAGCACCACACGCTCCAGACGACCTCTTACCTCACCAGGCACCCTGACAATCTAGCACTCTGCCAGGACGGGGGTGGAAGATTGCAAGTTCAAACCAGCAAGGACAATTTAGTGAGTTACCAAGGGCCCATCTCAACCATGAATGAATGAGTGAAAGAAGAAGTAAATCAATGGAGCTGGAGATTGGACTCTGTGGAAATCCCATGGATTCAGTCTTCAACATCGCAAAAATACAGAAATCATATTGAGATACTTTCTGTGTTTTCCTACTATTTTCTCTCTGCTTGTATATCACTGTGTGCATTAGAAGAAATCACTAATACTTCACCAATGATTACCAATAAATAAGTGTATATAGCTTTGAATATCAAATATTATTACAAGTTTATGGAAACTACTATTTCCTTTCACACTTTGACTCATACTAACACACTTTTCCATCATTTCTCTGGGAATAAACTCATTTCAAATTATAAAATTATATTTCTGCTTGTTGATTTTTCAAATATGGACTTGACATTCTTTTTTTTTTTTT